CTCGGCCGGCCCGGCCCCGGGTGCGCACGCGAGCGTCCAGCCCGGCCTCGGCGAGGTGTCAGAGCTTAGGCCCAGGGGCGTTCCTGGACGGCGTCTGGAGGTAAGGCCTGTGGACGAGGACGCGGTCGCCCGCACAGCTGCGTCGCCGCATTCTCGGGGTCCCCGGGCTGTGCGCGTGCGTGTGCGCGTGGCCGGGCCGTGGACGGAGGGAACCCGGCGTGGCCGGGCGGCCTTCGGACCTGCTGTGATGCCCCGCCGAGGCAGGAAGCAGCAAGAAGGCTCCTGGACTTACCACCTCGGGAACCGAAGTAAATAAACCTGATAAATAACCAGCTCTCAGGGCTCTTGTGTCTTAAAGCTGCCGTTGCTGGGCCCCTGAATCACCAGGAGCAAGGTCAGAACTAGGCCTCCAGACTTTCCATCTTTGTGTTTGCTTTTTGTTGTCGTGGGTTGTGGGGCTTGAACTCAGGGCCTCGGTGCTGTTCCTGAGCTCTCTTCCCCAAGGCTGGTACTCTACCATTGAGCCACAGCCCCACTTCAATTTCATGGTGATTAAATAAAAGTCTCGACCTGCAATCCTCAGATCTCAGCCTCCCGAGTAGCAGGTTACAGGTATGAGCCACCGGTACCTGCTGTATTTATGTCATTGTCTAGAGCCATAAAGATGCCTTAGCTGCTTCAGTTACCTGGATGCGGCCCTAGCATCCAGGAAGGGCTAGAGCTCCCCCTCCCCACCCCCAGCCATTACACACATTACTGAAACATTCTACCACCCCAAACACAACAGTCTTAATTATACACACCTTCTCACCCACTGCCTCCTAAGACAAATGGCTGTACCCCTGCCGACAGCCCAGGATTGAAGTGCTGTCTTTTTGTCTTTCCAGGACACTGCCCCTCACCTTGCCTCTTTATTGGCATGCAGGGTAAGTGGCTGGCCCTGACGTGCGGAACTCCTGGAGTTTGGACCTGGGGGCATCTGAGACCTTAGTTTCACTGTGAAGACAGATGTTAGCAGGTTTTAGAAAATTGAGCAATAATCAGCTCCTATCAAACGTTGCACTTCTGGTTTAACCTGTCTTTGTTGGACAGGTTCCTCACAAAGGTTTAACTCAGTCTTCCCTTGGTCATTGTGGCTTCATGTCCATCATTGGCCATTTCGTTCAGTGGCAGAAGACATGGGGACCCCTTAGCACAAGGTGGGTGTTGAGCTGTGGTTTTGGTTCCTGCATTGTTCTCTCCATAAGCAGAGTATTCTTTTACTATCAGAAGAACAAAGATGAGAAATTGCCAACTAGCAACATGTAAACATGTAATTACTATATTGCCACACAAAAGAGTCTATGGATCTGAACAAGCTGTATTAAAAAATAACTCCATTTTGTGGAACAGTTTACCAGCTGAGAGACCAGCCCACAGCAAGCGTTTCCCCAGGCTGGTGGGAACCCTGGAGGGCCTCTCTGTTCCCTGGGGATTAAGAATGTCATGCTATAGCCTTTTGGAATTGGACTTGTGTGTTCTTACCGCCAGGGCCAGGATTTGACTCGATGTGATGGGTGGCTCTTCTGCTGCACCCTGATAGCTGAGTCTTCATGGATAAACCAGCGAGGTCAGCACAGAGCTGTTCTTTCTTCTCCCTTTGCCAGCTGTACAGATGCTGTGTCAAGGCATCACCGGTCACATTTCATTCCTCTCCACACTGACCGGATGTCATTTCTTGCTCCAGCTGGAATGGAGTGGGAACTGTTTAGTCTTAGTAGAGACATTGTGATGTGTTTGGGATTGGACATTCCCTGATGGCCATCTCTGTATGTTCACTGACAAGGACCAGGACTGCCTTCCATCTCCTCCTCTTGGGCCTCACTGCCTCTCCTTGTTAGACTCTGTGGTGGATCTCTGCACACATCTACCTCGAGTGTAAACTTGTGTGGTAAAGGGGACTTTTTATGTGGCTCAGTTGAGGGGTTTTTTTTTTGGTCCGGTTGTGGGGCCTGAACTCTGGGCCTGGGCGCTGTCCCTCAGCTCTTCAGCTCAAGGCTAGCGCTCTAGCGCTAGAGCCAGAGTGCCACTTCCGACTTTTTTCTTTTTTTGCTTATGTGGTGCTGAGGAATCAAACCCAGGGCCTCGAGCATGCAAGGCAAGCGCTCTACCACTGAGCCACCTTCCCAGCCCATCAGTTGAGGGTTTTAAGCTGGGGAGATAGTCCTGACTTATCCAAGGGCCCAAGGCCATCACCGTTTTTACCAAGGGAGTAAGAGACTCAAGAGAGAAGGTCACCTGAATTTGGAGACTGAAGTCTGCAAGGTGTGCGCTTCTGGATGTTAAACAAGGCAAGAAATGGATTCTCAACTGGGATTGTGGTTCAAATGGTAGAGTGCACTGAGTTCAAGCTCTAGCAACACCAAAAAACAACCCCAAAAGAATAAAGCAAATTGGAAGAGCAGGCCATATGGAAGTTTCATGAATATTAAACAAGCAGAAGAGTTTACTAGCCACTTGGGGAATGCATCATAATGGCCAGTCAGCACAAGGGGGGAAAGGGAATGCCTGCGGCCCAAAGCACCACTGCAGGGGAAATGCCACGGCTGGCGGGCAGTGCCCCAGAACCGAAGTGCGGAAGTGACAGTTCTGCCCCTAGCTTACATGCAGTTGGTGCACCTCTTTGTCTGTGCAGGCTGGCAGCGTTCCTACCTTCTTAGATTATGTGCAGGCCTGGGTTTCTTAGTCTCAGAAAAATCCTGCCTGGTGACACAGGTCCAGGGTAGTGGACAAAACAAACTAAAAGACTCAGCCTGGGGTCAAGTGGCTCAAGTGACTTAGTTGAATCTCCAGTACTGCAAAAAAAAAAAAAAAAAGTTAACATGTCTTTAACATTTATCCTCAAAAAGTAGCAGTACAAGGATTTCTATCATAACAGCATCCTTTGTAAAGAAATTGTGAAATTGTTTAACTAGGGATCCAGGTGGACCCATTACAACAATGAGACATACAAGTCCTTATGTCAAAAACGAACTTTACAACTTTGGTTGGGGGGGGGAGGGTTGGGAGGGGAGGATGGGAAGGGAGGGGGAAACAAAGGAGGCTACAATGCTTGATAAGAAATATGCTCATTATCTTGCCCATGTAATTGTAACCCCTCTGTACAGTATTTTCACAATAAAAAAAAAGAAAATTGTGGAGACACTCTGAGTGTGGAAAGTTGGGGATGCATTGATGAATTATTAGATCTCACCCTTGTAGCATACCAAACAGGCGTTAAAACAGTGCGATAATGTGCCCAAGGACATTGGAACACATCTAAACAAGGATATTCATCATGGTGCTGTTTGTAATAAAAGGCAGAGATAAATATCTGCGGATGGAAATTACTTATGTAAATTATAGGGCACCAATTCAATGGGACACTGCGGCCATTAAAAATAATGAGGATGCTATGAAGGTACCCACATGGAAGAATCATGTAAAGTATAAATGAATGCGTGTGTGTGTGAGTGAGATTTGTAGGTACCCAATCATGGGCCCTTCCTGGAGTACAAGGTGGGTCATGGCCTGGCTGGTGTGATCTGGTCACGGCATGGGCAGAGGGCAGGAGCCTTCCTGTCTGTCCTTTGCCTTTGCAGGCCCGGGCCGTCAGGTTCCAGAGATGCTGCCTGCTGCCTCCAGTGTACCATCCGTCAGACACACGCAGTGCAAGAGATTGGGAGTCCTGGGCTGTTTCCACCTGAGTGACGGATCGGGGCCTGTGGTCGTGGGGACACCAGTCGTGGAGTA